TTAATACTCGTGTGTGTGTGTGTGTGTGTGTGTGTGTGTGTGTGTGTGTGTGTGTAAAATATAGTCTTTTGTCTGGCAAAAAAAATTTCTCTGGAACCTAACCTCCCCTGTTTACATTAATTCTTATGGGGAAATTGGATTCGCTTAACATGGTTTCGCTTAAAGTTGCATTTTTCAGGAACAGAACTACGTTAAGCGAGGAATTACTGTATCTGCTTTATGCTTTTCCGGCGGGCATCCAATGTTTCTCTCATCCTCACCTCTGCTAAATGGCTGCTTTGGGTCAAAGGTGACTATAACCTTTCCCATTGCTAATAAGTCTTTACATTTGTACCTTTCCCCTCCAAGTGCTTTGCAGGCCCTTCAGCTGCATTTCTGATCCTGGTTTCACCCTAACTTTCTGCATCACGCTTCAGAACCAAATCAAGAGTGTGTACAGTATGTGTCAAGAAAACCATGCGCTCTAGTATCCTCTGCAAGGATGGCGAGATTGTGAGTCTTGGAAGAAGGGTCTTGGGAGAACACAGCTCTTTCCTTGACACGTGGGTTTTGAGATTGGCAGGGAATGTCTGGGTGCGCTTTCGCTTTCTGCTCCTTCTACGAAGGGGAGGCTGTGTCAGTCTGATGCAAACTGGTCTGCTCTATACAAACACTGTATTGCTGACAACAGATGTAGGCACTGGTGAAGCACTGAAGCCTGCTGTGGTCTGCACTTGTATCTAAATCCGATTCAACGCTGCTTCGCTCGCCCCCCGCCCCCGCCATGCCTGTTTTCAGCAACAGGTCGTTCTTGTTGCGTAGACAAGGTTTCGTTATTATTCCTGTTTTTTGCTTTGCCCTCTGACTCTGTGCCCTGGGGGTTAGTAAGAGAGAGGGGTCGGGGGTACAGTAAATCAGGTATCCTTCACTTTGGGGATGGCACGGGGCTAAAACACAGAAAAGAGCAGGAAAAACCCACTCCTAACAACAAACGCAGCCAGAATCATAATGGGGGAAAAGCCCTCATTTATTCCCCTCTGAAACTCTTCTCCTCCAGTCTGGCTACCCTATGGGAGTTCGTTCTCTCTCTCTGTTTCTGGCTCTAGCTGGAGGAGAGAA